GAAGGAGCTGTGGCCTCTGGCTGGCTCCCCCAGGCCCCTGGCACCCCCCTGCAGCCCCTGGCTCAGTGGAGCCCTTACCCTGAGTACGTGTCCCACGAGGCTGCCGGCTGTCCCTACTCAGCAGATATGTACGTGCAGCCCGTGTGCCCCAGCTACACCCTGGTGGGACCCTCCTCTGTCCTCACCTACGCCTCCCAGCCTCTCATCACCAATTTTGCAGTAAGTCAAAAGCACCAAGCTGGAAATTACATTATTTCTCACCTTCTAAGAGCTGTGGGGTGGGTGGAGTTAGACTAATTTATTTATTACGGTAATGCTGTGTGTTCTTGCATCCATTGCCATGTAGTTCCCGGGACAGGAATATGGTTTGAGCAGGGCAAAAAGTTGTGTTGTAATGAAACTACACTATACTAAAACTATACTAAAGAAAAACCCATGACCCTTTCAGACAGTGACAACACAGCTTCAACCTAACTGGTCAATCAACCCAAAACAACCAGAGTCCAATTAACAAATCCCTTTTCGGTGAACAATCTCCATAACACATTCCACATGTGCCAAACAACAGGGGTAGCAAGTAGAGATAAGAATTGTTTTGTCTTCTTTCTCTGAGCTTTCTCACTGCCTTCCCCAGGAGAAATGCTGGGAGAGAGAATGATGTCTCTCTCTGCTCAGAGAAATACGTGAGTTGTCGGGAGGTAGGACAGTTGGGGTGGATGGAAACGAGAGATCTCTGCAGCCAGGTCTGGAACTTGGGGTTCATTGCAAAGGGCCAAGCGCAGGGCCCTGCTGGGAGCTGCCAGGCACAGCTCAGAGCAGGCCCAAAGAGGGAGAGAGAGGTAAAGAGAGAATGAGAGGGTAAAAGAGAAGATCAGAGGGTGAGGTTCCCGTTACAATAAAATAAATCATCTTCTGGTTGTGGAACTTGGGGTTCATTGCAAAGGGCCTGGGTGCAGGGCCCTGCTGGGAGCTGCCAGGCACAGCTCAGAGCAGGAATGAGAGAAGAGAGGGAGAGAGAGAGGATAAGAGAGTAAGAGGGTAAGAGAGTGAGGTTCCCATTACAACACCATAAATCTTCTGTGTTGAATATTCCCATTCTCACTAACCAATCTAGTACAATACACAAATCCTATAGCATTTCCATGCAGCCTATAAGAATCATTACATCACCATCCTGTGTTACATTTTAAACCCTAAAAGCTCCTCTTTGGGCCCCTTCTGCCAAGCTGCAGGGTCTGCTCTGACCCTTGGGCCTGTCTGCAAGCAGAGGGTGTTGTTCCATCAAAAGGGGATCACCTTCAGCAGCCACACCATTGTTTTCCAGCTGTTCAGTAACTGAGGGATCTCGAAACTTGCCTTCATTTCAATTCTAGTTCCTATATTCTCCAAATCTTTTATCGAGCAACCCTATTGATAAGGCTTTCCCGTTCCACCTCCCCCAGCAGCGAGTGCCACCCTGCCTGTCTCACTGTGCTGTGTCTCTGTGCCCTCCCCAGCCCCGCAGCAGCGCCCCGGCCGTGGTGCCCCCGCTGGAGGTGACGGAGCAGCAGCCGCCCCTGCCCTACTTCCCGTGGGCACAGCCCCTGCCCGCCCTGCCAGCCTCCAGCCTGCAGTACCCCGCAGCCTCCTCCTCCTTCCCCGGGCCCCAGCTGGTGCCCGTGCCCATCTCCATCCCCGAGCCAGCCCCGCAGGAGCTGGAGGATGCCCGGAGAGCCATCGGCGCCCTGCCCATCGAGAAGCTGCTGCTGGAAGATGAGGACAATGATACGTACGTGTTGAGCCATGCTCTCTCTGTGGAAGGGATTTAGGTGGCACATCTGGAGCCCCAGCCGGCAGCTCAGTGGGTTTGGGATCAGGGTGGGCTGGGGGTTTTGGCACGCTGTGATTTGTGTGGTGAGGGAAATTTGCTTTGTCCTGGCGCCCAGCACAAGGTTCCTGTGCTGTCCCAGCTCCTGCTGCCTCTCCCAGGCAGGTTTGGATGCTGCACACTTGTGCTCAGCACCAGCACAAAGTGATTTTCACCCTCATGGCCTCAAAATGACAGATTCCAGTGTAGCCACAGCCAGCTGTAGCATTTGGTGAGGGTACAATTGTTCCTAAATATTGCCAAACCCCCAATAGGGTTGTTTTCGTGTAAATGCATTGTCTGTGTGTCTTTGAGCTGTCCAGGGAGGAACTCACCAGATTTAGGCCACTAGAAAACATTTGGGTGAGCCTAAATTGGCATTTTTCTCTCCTAAATTTTGCAATTCCTTTGGAAATCAGGAAAACATAAAGAGTAGCTTTGTTCTGCTGGTGCAGGCAGGTGCAGTGGTGTGAAAATAAAGCTGAGCTAAATGCCAGAGCAGTCAGAGATCGCTGTTTGCAGAGCAGGAATTCACACCAAGGCGTACCTGGAAGCTCTTTGCCCCTGAGCCCAGCCCTGCAGGTGTGGAGCAGAGGGTAAATCCGTGTTATTTCAGCTGCAGAGGGGTTTGGGGCTCTGAAATATCCAAATTTGAGATGTGGGGCTGATGTGGGGGCTGGCTGGTAACGCTGCCAGTGACAGATCCTGTCCCACTGAAGCCTCTGGGAGGTTTGTCTGAGTCAGGACTGAATTCATGGCCCTAGATCAGGAGATCACTGAGAAAACAGGAATTTTCCAGACCCTGGACTGCAGCCCAACAAGGACTCCATGGCATTGCTGTTATCTGGCAGAATTTTTGCTTTTCTGTAGTGTTTGAGTGTGATGTGCTGAGCCAGGGAACCTCAGTGACCTCTCCTTGGAAAGCTCCCCAGGCCCAGAGGTGCACACGATTCCTTTATGGCTTTCTGATTTCCTGTCCTGGAGAATGAGTAGCTTCACTTTTCCCTCTGATGAGAGTGTCAATATTTTGGTTGAGGCTCAGGAGTGCCGTGGCACAGGCAAATAAATTGATATATTTCAGGAGATGCATCCCCTTTGAACCCTGTTTATTGCTTTCTTGACAAACAAGAGGCTCTTGGCTGGTGAACACAATTTCTCTGGGTTTTTCTGCTTTCTAAAGCCCAGGATTGTTAGATGGTTTTATTATTTACAAGACTAACTGAAAAAAATAATTTCTTGTACTCTTTATTACCTGGAGTCCAGCTGCCACCCAGGCAATATTTCAGCTGGCCTTAGAGTTCATTCCTGGGTGAGGTTTGAAAACCCAGGCTGAAAGTCTTAAAGACTTTCCAAGAGTATTTTTAATTGAATATTGACAAATGTGGAAGACACAAGCACTAGATCATGTAAGTGATCATAAAGTTGTTGGAAAAGAGCAGCAGTTGAGGTTGGCATTGAAATTAGTGGCTTACATTTGCAGAAAAACCCAGCAAAGAAATTAATTCCAAGGAGCTGAATTCACCACTGCTTCCTCCAGTTTTATGAAATTCAGAGATATTCCCTAGGTCAAACTGGGATAAAGCAGTTGTGAATCAAGCTCGTGGTTGCTTTGATTGCTTTTCAATTCCTTTCACTCCAATGTATGTAAATTCTGTGTGTGAACATAAAACAAAGATGAAACTGTTTCATCATTTCTTTCTGGGTTGTTCTGGTTAGAAAAAAAAGACAATTTTTTTTCAATAAAGATCTACAGTAACTTTGCTATGCCTAGAGTGTTTTATTTCCTACCCACAAGCATTGGTTTAGCAATCAATTAGTTCAATAATATATGTACAGGCTAGAAGCAGAGGTTAGCTGTCAGACTTCTGTGCTCATTTTACACACGAAGCAGACTAAGCAGGAATTCCTTGATCCAGCTGTGGCCTGGAGGCATTTCCTGCAGCAGTCCTTGCTCCTGCAGTTCAGCTTCAATCACTTTTATCCTCTCCTGGCACCCTTGGGGATGTGTGGGTGTGCAGCCACAGCTAATGCCGAGCTTGACTGAAAATCAGATTAGCCAGAAAATTGTGTTTCCACTTCCTGAGATTGCAAGGGGTGGCTCTGGAGAGAAACTACCCAAGGAGAGAAACAACTCCCACCACCTTCTGCCTGAAAAGCATCAAACATTTCTGTCTGCAGCAGAATCAGCCAGGGGTTGGTGTGACTGAGTGTGGGATGGGCTCCTCCTGTTTCAGAGGGTTGGAATTTCCTTCGAGTAGGAGCTGGGGGAATAGAAGTGGCTCCAGCCAGAGCCAGATGAGCAAAGTGAAGCAGAGAAATGTTCTCCCCATCACTAAGGGCCACCAGCCACTCCCTGGGGCATGCCAACTCTTTGTCTGGTGCAAAATATAAGGACAGTAAATAAATAAAAAATAAATAAATAAAACCCCTCTAACCAGGAGTTTTGATAGAAATTAGAGTTTAACAGGTTGATATACTAGAAATATATCAATAGAGAGTTTAGAAATATATCAATAGAGAGTTTAACAGGTTGATTATTGATTACAAATACATCAATAGAGAGATTTACAAGTTGATGTATTACAAATATATCAAAAGAGAGTTCAATAGGTTTATATATTACAAATGCATCAATTAGGGAATTTAGGAGTTCGATATATTACAAATACATCAATAGAGAGTTTAACAGGTTTAATATTACAAATACATCAATTAGGGAGAGGTTGTTAGCCCTGATGGTGAGGTTTCACCCACACACCCAGAGCTGTATCACCCCAAAAAGGGATTTATACATCCAATTCCCCAAACTGGGAATGGTGGAGCACTTTGACACCTCCCAGTGGTGAATCTCAGCTGCAGGAAGGTGCTGAGGTGGGAAGGAGGCAGCAGGCAAAGCTCAGGAGATCTGAGGGCTCTTGGACTCTGCAGCTGCTGGAGGTGCAAAGCCCTTCCCATGAAAATGGGAATTTTTGCAGCTCATGGCATGGATTTGTGCAACCCTGGCTGTAAAACCCCAAAAAGTGGCAGGGATACCCTGTAAAACTGTTTGCTCCCAGCGTGGTCCATGGTCCATCAGTGATGGGTGTCTTTATTTATTTGCTGTCTTAGAATTCTGCATATTTATGCAGCTAAAGGCCTGCGGGCCCACACGCTGGCAGCCGCAGAGCGCATGAGAGCCCTGAGGAGACTCGATGCCAAGGAGCACAGAGGAAAGGTAAAAAAGGGTAAAAAGGGGGCCACTTTCTCCTGCAGACAGCAAGGTTTGGGATGGGAACAGGCTTGGCATGACAGACAGCAAGGTACCCTCAAAATCCAGCTCTGCCCCTGCAAGGAAAGCTCGGCACTGATGGGCCTCACTCGGGGGCAGGACTGCAAAATTCAGTGGCAGGACTGTAAAATTCAGTGGCATGGTCATAAATCAGGTGGGATGAGAATAAGCCCATTCTTTTTTCAGCCCATGAGTGATGTGTGAAAACACCAATCCAGTAAAATATTTGTGTGTTGGCATCAGTCTCTGAGGCTGAAGGGTTTACAGCCAACTGACTTGTGCTGGACCTGATGCAATTGGGGTTGAAAAAATGCTGGGTTTGTGTTGCCATCAAATTATGGGCTGAAGAGCAGCAGGAGGAGTCCGGCAAGAGCTGGAAATCCCCATCTCATGTGGGATTCCAAACCATCCTGTGAGCTGTGCTCATTCCTGGCACCACAGTCCTTGGGATTTCAGCCAGAACTTTCCCCGCTCCTTGTTTTACACCAGCAGCTGCTGCTGCCACCTTAGGATTTTAGCTTTTATATTTTTCATATATTTATAATCCTGCAATTCTTTAATGTGTAACTCTAAAGCTCCATAGCCTGTCAGCTACTGTTCTCACATTTTATTCAGACAAAATAGTTCTTCTGTAGGTCTGGAACCCAAGGACACCTCACTGTCTCAGGCCCTAAAAAGTATAAAGGAAAGTGAGTTTGGGGAGGAGTAAATTGGGGTAAATGACTTCATTACCTAAAGCTGAAGTAATTGGAGGATTAACCCCTGATTACTTCATTACTTGAAGTAATTGTAGGATTAACCCCTGGTATGACCAAACTTATAATTGTCTAAAAAGCCCATGAGCGTTTGGGTGTAGCCTCAGGGACACTTTGACTGCCCAAGCTGAACCTATTGAAGAGCTTCAATAAAACCCCACTTTTATTCTGTGAATCTTGCCTAACCCGTGTTTCAGGCAGCCCCTCCAAGGCATCCCTGGCAGGCTCTGCAGTCAGGCTGAGCTCTCACAGCTGTCTGTGCTGCCCTTGCAGACTCCCCTGCTGGTGGCTGTCACTGCCAGGCAGGCAGCCATCGTCCACGACCTCATCCAGGCAGGAGCAGATGTCAACGCTGTGGACAACAAGGGCCAGTCAGCTTTGCACCTTGCTGCAACGTATGGCTACACCCAGGTCCTCCAGGTAGGAACGTGGATGCTGATTAATAGTATAAAATGTATATATTGTATATATGAATATTAAAATATATATATTTTTATATATGCATTATCTATTTATATATATAAATAAATATATTATATATATATTATATATTTACTTATATGTATATATTATATATTTACTTATATGTATATATCTGTATTTTTATATATGTATATATAAGATACATTTATTTATATATAATGTATAAATATACACATATAAAATTATATTTGTGTATCAATATATATTTACATAAATAATGTGTTGTATATATAAATGTAAATTAGATATATTTTACATATAAATGTATATCTATATATTATATATTTTACATATAGACAGTATATTGTACATATATATTTTGTGTATATATT